TTGTGGAGCTTGCTTAGAAATAGCTTCCTCTTTGCACTGTAGAGTTTCAGCTGGCAACGGCGGATGGCACGGTGGATTGTGTTCACTGACAATGCTTTCTGGAAGTATTCCTGAGCCCATTCTGTTATGTCCTTGACAGTGTCATTCCTGTTTGAGGTGCAGTGACGTTTAAGGGCCCGGAGATCACGAGCTTCCAGTAGAGTTTTACGGCCTTGACCCTTACGCACAGCGATTGTTCCAGATTCTCTGAATCTTTTGATGATGTTATGCAAGGTTGATGATGATAACTTAAAAGTCTTTGCTATTTTACGCTGGGTAACACCATTCTGGTATTGGTGCACTATCTTTCTGCACAACAATGGTGGAATTGGGGATCCTCTTACCAGCTTGGCTTCTGAGAGACACTGACACTCTGAGAAGCTCTTTTTATACCCAATCATGTTGTCAATTGACCTAATTAGTGTTAGTTGGTCTTCCAACTGTTTGTTATATGTTCAATTTCCTTTTTCCAGCCACTTATTGCTACTTGTCCCAACTTTTTTGGGATTTGTTGACACTGTGAAATTTTGAATCAACATATTTTTCCTTTAAAATGTTACATTTACTCAGATTTAACTTTTGATCTGTCATCCATGTTATATTACGAATAAAATATTGACATTTGCCATCTCCACATCATTGCATTCAGTTTTTATTCACAATTTGTTTAGTGTCCCAACTTTTTTGGAATCCAGTTTTGTATTAGGGGTGTAACAGTACACGTGGGTGTGCCGAACCGTTTCGGTACTGCACGTTCGGTTCGGTCCACATGCGTACCGTTTCAGTTATTTTTTCACTCATTAGATTTTATTAACGAGAGATTATGCGCTGCGGAAAAAGTTCCTAAGCGTGTTTCAGCACGGTACTATTATCTTGCAGCACGCGAAGCATTAGCATTAGCTTCTCGTTGCGGTCTCCTGTTTGGGAACATTATGACTTTCTTGTTAAAAGACAAGTGAACAAATCCAAAGCTGTATGTCGACGTTTTTTCACGGAGATTGGATTTGCAGCAGCAACACATCTAACTTGTTAACGCACTTGAAACAAGATCATCCGAACGTGAACGTCTCTTCTAGTAGCTTGTTGCAAACACCGATAACAGCAGCATTTATACAACCTTTATTAGGTAATTCAGATCGGTCCAGAGCAATAATACAAGCTGTAAGAGTTTTTAAAGATATGGAGCTACGTTTCTCTTGTCGATGCGCCAGCTTTAAAGTTATTGAGCCTCACTATGACATCCCATCATGTCAACACTTCAGCCAAAAAGTTTTAGCAGCACTTTGTGAAAAAGATAAAACTGATATTGTCAACAAGCCCTGGACCAGATTAAAGCCCTGTCCTGATGATGACCGAGAGACTCAACCACCTCATAACAACTGTTCAAGAAGAGGTATTGTTCTTTTATTATTATTATTATTATCTCATTGTCATAGCTCTGCTCTCTGTCAGCTCCTCTGTCATGCTGCACACTC